ATAAATGACACTTTTTAAAATCCATTCATCTATTGAAGGGCATCTAGGTTGGTTCCACAGTCTAGCTATTGTGGATTGTGCTGCTATGAACATTGATGTAGCTGTATCCTTGTAGTATGCTCTTTTTAGGTCTTTTGGGTATAGTCTGAGAAGGGGAATAGCTGGGTCAAATGGTGGTTCCATTCCCAGCTTTCCAAGGAATCTCCATACTGTTTTCTAAATTGGCTGCACCAATTTGCAGTCCCACCAGCAATGTACAAGAGTACCCTTTTCCCCACATCCTTGCCAACACTTGGTGTTGTTTGACTTCATAATGGCTTCTAATCTTATTGGAGTGAGATGGTATCTCAGGGTGGTTTTGATTTGCATTTCTCTGACTGCTAGCGATGGTGAGCATTTTTTTATGTACTTGTTGATTGATTGTATGTCCTCCTCTGAGAAGTGTCTGTTCAGGTCCTTGGCCCATTTGTTGATTGGGTTATTTGCTATCTTATTGTCTAATTTTTGAGTTCTTTGTATACTCTGGATATTAGGGCTCTATCTGAAGTGTGAGGAGTAAAAATTTGTTCCCATGATGTAGGTTCCCTGTTTACCTCTCTTATTGTTTCTCTTGCTGAGAAAAAACTTTTTAGTTTGAGTAAGTCCCAGTTGTTGATTCTAGTTATTAACTCTTGTGCTATGGGTGTCCTATTGAGGAATTTGGAGCCCGACCCCACAGTATGTAGGTCGTAGCCAACTTTTTCTTCTATCAGATGCCGTGTCTCTGATTTGATATCAAGCTCCTTGATCCATTTTGAGTTAACTTTTGTGCATGGTGAGAGAAAGGGATTCAATTTCATTTTGTTGCATATGGATTTCCAGTTCTCCCAGCACCATTTGTTGAAGATGCTATCCTTCCTCCATTGCATGCTTTTAGTACCTTTGTCAAATATAAGGTAGATGTAATTTTGTGGATTGGTCTCTGTGTCCTCTATTCTGTACCATTTGTCTACCTGCCTGTTTTGGTAACAATACCATGCTGTTTTTGTTACTATTACTCTGTAGTATAGTTTAAAATCTGGTATTGCTATACAGCCTGTTTCACTCTTCCTGCTTAGAATTGCTTTTGCTATTCTGGGTCTTTTATTTTTCCAGATGAATTTCATGATTGCTTTTTCTATTTCTGCGAGGAATGCCGTTGGGATTTTGATTGGCATTGCATTAAACCTATAGAGTACTTTTGGTAATATCGCCATTTTAATGATGGTAGTTCTGCCTATCCATGAACAAGGTATATCTTTCCATCTTCTAAGGTTTTCTTCTATTTATAGGGTTCTGTAGTTTTCATTGTATAAGTCTTTCTCCTCTTTTGTTAGATTGATTCCCAAGTATTTTATTTTTTTTTGAGGATACTGTGAATGGAGTGGTTGTCCTCATTTCCATTACAGAGGATTTGTCGCTGATATACAGGAATGCCTTTGATTTATGTGTTTTTATATCCTGCCACTTTGCTTGAATTCATTTACTAGCTCTAGAAGTTTCTTCGTAGAACCTTTTGGGTCTGCAAGGTATAGGATCATGTCATCTGCAAGTAGTGCTAATTTAAGTTCTTTTCCTATCTTTATGCCTTTAATTTCTTTCGTCTGTCTAATTGCTCTGGCCAGTATTTCGAGAACTATATTGAATAGAAGTGGTGATAGAGGGCATCCCTGTCTTGTTCCAGATTTTAGAGGGAATGCCTTCAATTTTTCTCCTTTTAGAATGATGCTAGCCTGAGGCTTAGCATAGATAGCTTTTAAAATGAAGTTTGGGCCTCTTTGTCTTGCCCTTCCACCTTCTGCCATAGGCTGATGTAAATGAAGACCATTCCCAGATACTGGCACTATGCACTTGGACTTCCCAGCCTCCAGAACTATGAGTCAAATACATGTATTTTCTTTATAAATCACTAGTCTCAGGCATTCTGTTATAGCAGCAAAACAGACTAAAATAAGAGCTTTTTTATTTTCAAATATCTTGAATTCTCTTGACTAAAATCAATCTTTTAATCTCATAAACATGAATACATAATTCCTTTTATTGCTTGTCCTAAAAATTTCAGGTCTTCGAAATTCTTTAAACTTAATGCTTATGGTAACAAGGTTTTGTGTGCATCTTAAACACTGAACAGGGAAGTGCAATGTTGAACTACGTAGCTCTTCAACTACTAAAACAAGACTTAAAAAATTGTTTAGTGGCATAATTATAAAGTGTTTTTATATTTATTTCACCATAATGCAATTAACTGTTTCACTTATGTAACTTAAAATATTCTTTAATAATAAAAAAAATGGTGCGCATGCTTCAATTAATAGAATGTACAGGTTTTCTAGTTCTTCATATTTTCTAGAATCAAAAGGATCATAGAGTAATAAAATGGTAGGTTTTCCGGAGACAGCTTTCTTGTAATAATATCATTATTGGTGACCTGGCATGGTTGCTTTATTTCTAATGAAATAGTATCAGTACTAAAGGCAACTCGAATATGTCATTCTAAAATACACTTAATTGACATAAAATTTTTTAGTTGAAGACAATTAAGAGGCAGAAGCTTTCTTCATCTTTCACCTTTTCCTTTCTGAAGGCAGGGTATAAATTTTTATTGGGCTCTAGAGAGCACTCTTGACTTATTAATGCAGAGAATGCACCAGAGGAATCCTCAGACAAAGCTTATACTATTAGTTTTCTCCCATATATTTATCTTTCCACAGTTTCCTACCTTTGGAAACCTAACTGATTTCCTTTCCTGTCATTTCTCTATAAGTTTATTGCTCCTTATTGGAGAAGCTATGTAAGCTAAAGTTTTAAATCACTGCTTTGAGTTATTTTTGATTGAGGTTTCTCTTGCATGATGTGTACTGAATGTGTTAGACCCTTGCAATAAATGACAGATTTTGTCTCAGCTAGGAACTCATGAGAATTGAAGGAAAAAGATTTTTCTTCCCTGACAGTTTGTGGAGACCCCAATAAGGACTTTCTGGAATACTCTACTTGCTCTAGAGTCTGTAGATAGGATTGTAGGAAAACTGGAAGAAACTGGTAAAAGGTACGAATTGTCACTACTTACTTTTCCCAGATCTCTGTCTATAGTACCTTGTTGAGAGGGAAGTAAAAATTTCCCTTTGTCCTTTCTAAATTCAGATCAGTAGTGAAAAAAACCAGCTCTTTGATTTTTGTCTTTTGTGGATTTGGTTTGGGTAGCTGCTGGTTATCAATGAATAATCTCCCAGAGATGCCTTTTGCATTACTTGCCATAAGGATGAGAATCACAGACATAGCTCTTAAATCTATTGTGAAAACCAGGCTCAGACTGGTGAGTTTGGATAAACAATGCTGAAGCTATTCTTTGAGCCTCCTTTAGTAAAGATTAAAAAACAAAAATAAAATGCAGTAAGACTTGATAAAATTAAAATCTATACCTGCTTTAAATTTCTTTACTCAATTCCCTGACTTTGACCATCCAAAAGATCTTCTAGATTTCTGGTCCTTCTTTCTTAAAATCTGGTCTCATCCTCTCAATAAACTCCAACTTCCTGGGAAAATCCTCTAAATGCTCAGCTGTCCATTTTAGCTTCCCCTTTTCAGAAATATTTACAAACAGCCCTCCAGCCTAATCATCAGGACTGGGGTATACAGGATATTTATGTAAATGCTGATGATCAGGAAATAAATCTGACACAGGCTCAGGAACTTCCACTCAAATTTATAGATTTGAGGCAAATTCTAATGACAAAACCTTGGCTTATCCTTCCGGTGACGCTTTGAAAGTCCAATATAAGATTCCTCATTAAAAGTTCTAACAAAGCAGACTTTAACAAGAGCCTGTTCTTGCTGCATTTACGTGGATAATCAAGCTAATGAGACTAGACTTATTTTTGAAAACAAATTGGTCTGTGATTATCTTTGACAGAAAGAGTTGTGATGTGGAGATAAGGCGATGAATCTGATAACCACAGGGGGCATTATAATTCGCTACTGAGACACAGCTTTTTCATTTTCTCTTGATTGTTATCGAACTGCCATCTGGCCTAGATTCTGAATTCTAGTTTACTTTAGTATCAGGCTATATACATATAATTCACCAAAATAATATTTCATAGTTTTCTCACCTTTGTGGCTTGAAATCACTAAAACTTAGAACTTTATTTAAAACTTGCTTTTTTTTCTAATGTGAGACTGAATGACGTGATATAAACTGCAGAGAATCAACACAACTCACATGTGGATAATTTTCAGGCCTGTTGCTGCATGGGGCATTCAGATATCACCAGAGACATTTAAACAGCCAGAATCTAGAAATCTTCTTGATTGGCTTGTCCTCCTAGACTCAGAATGGTCTTTAAAGCAGTTTTTAACCATAATCTTTGTTTTTTCTTTTAAATGTTACTTTATAGAGGCCAAACTTTGGGAGCCACCTCATGGGACAATGTACTTGAATTAAGACAAGCAGAAAAGTACAAATTTCTTTTCCTCTACCAATCTTTTATCTTGCAACCTCTAATCCAAATCTCTCCCAAACTACCAACTTGGAGAGTTCTAAGCCACTGCTTTGAATTGCCTGCAATGGAGTTTCCTGTGTCGTACAGATTAACAAAAGGAAAAACATACTTATTAATCTCTTGTTACAGGGGAGTCCAAACTAAGAAGGACTGAACAATAAACTATCTTTCTTCCCTGATATTACTTAAAGCAGAAATGGCTATTCCATTTCCTAAAAAGCCCCCAAAGAACCAAACATCTCTCATCCCACTGGACTATAAAACTTTAACAGCAAATACAAACATATAAAAACTTACTGCTAATAATTTGACTTCAGCTGGGCAAAGCAGACATTATATAGCAAGTTACTAATATTTTTGTGAGCTGTGATAAGTTTCACGTTGTATCTATGTGTACATTAAAGTTAAAATATTAGAGAAATATGAATAATTTAAATACCTAACCAAAATAGTATGCTATGATAAATTTTTGGTATTTCTTACCTCTTTCTGTAGGATTTCTTCTCGAACTTGAGAAACTGTAAGAGATTCTTGATTACCTTGCAGCTCATTAATTTGACTTTGGAAATGTTTTATAAGTACCTAGGAAATTGTTTAAGAGAACTGAGTTAATAAAACTCTCCCTTGAGCACTATTTCAAAAATATAAGAAAGCCAACTCATGACTGAAAATCTTTAAAAATAAACCTCTATAATGTCTGAGCTTTTGAAAAAGAGTGGATATTATTTTGTATTTTGTAATTAAGCAGAATGCTATATTTTTATTAATTAAAAATACAAGTCTTACAGTATCTGAAATGTTAGTCTCATACTTTAGGCAAAAAAATAGAAATACCAGAACAGATATACATCAAGAAACTGAAAACATGAAAAATAACTCTAATGATGTATTTTTACTATTTAATGATCAGATTATATTGATTTCCATTTAACTCACAATTTTACAATACTGCATTTATAACTGAGAAAAGAACATATTTATGGCCCCATGGTATCATCACACTACTATTCCCACTTCTTCTAAAATGTTCCTTACTACAGAATCACTTAATTCTTACACCTACTCTTTTGAAAAAAAAGTTAGAGAGGTTATCTGAGAGTCTGTATGGACAGTTACTTTTGAAAAGCACTTTAAATACTTCTGGAATAGTACTATTTATAAGTCATTTGCAATTAAGATGCAGATTTCATTACCCTTCACCCCCTAAATATTTCAACAATGCCTCTTATACTAGGGGCATTTCTCAAGAATCAAAGTAACATCTTTATACTTAAGAAAGTCAGTTTTTTAGTAGCCAGCCCATAAACTTCCCTAATTGGAGAATTTGTTTTTTCCTTAAACTTGTTTTATTAAAATTATAAACAGGATAAAGAGTATTAGAGTTCTGTTCCTAAGGTTGTTTTATTTAGTGGAAACTTTACAAGGATAAAGCATATTGGGAATTGTTTAGTTTATTGTAGAGTATGTACTTGAAACAAATTGTTGACACCTGGTACTATTTTATGCCATTTGCTCCTGCCATAATGTGCTTACTCACTTCAAAAAATAAAGCTGTAATACATTCACATGTTCTTTATGGATTTTTCAAACATTTTCCCCACTATTTGGATACCTGATTTTTAAGTTACAGATGAAAGTTCTATTTAATGCTGTTTTTCAACCTACTAACATCATAGAAGATGGGCCACATGGTAAATATTTTTAGATATTCTAAGCAGATTTCCTTCTTGTCTAATAAGTATGTCATTTGTTAAGGAAGTTGCTGATGAGTTGTCAGCATTCCTCAGGTTCTTAGACTGTACTTCATAAAGGCTAGAGCTTTGTTCATTATTTTATTTCTAGTACCTAATTGTCAACAGACTTTTAATTATTTGCTCAATGAATGAAAGGTAATAGGAAGAATGCCTGGGGATAATTACTTGTCAGTTGGGACTTGGGAGGGAGGTAGTTTAACATTCAAGCTCAATTACTAATGTCCCAATCATGTTAGACTCAATCATTTGTTACAAATCTTTTATAGGAAGAGATAAGAAATGTAGAGTTAATTTTTTAAAAAGATATAATTTTAAAGGAGAAAAGTTAAATATATGATAATGGTATCTTTTTTTTTAAAGCCAATACTAATTTCCCATTTCTATTATCAATCTTCAAAAAGTGAAATAACTTACAAATTAAAAAATGTTTTGCTAACAGTTCTAAAAACATCACATTAAAGTCAAAGAAAGATCAAAACAAATTTGCCAGGTACCTCTTGAGTTGCTATTTTACGATTCAGTTCAGCTACTTTGGAAGAAGAATTTTCGACTGCATTTTGACAAAGGAGTTTCTCTACTTCCCTCTGATGAGATGCTTTGAGGGATGCAATATGTGCTGCAGTATCTTCCTTGACCCTATGGAGCAAATGCAAATCACATATAAAAGTAGCTCTTCAATCTCTAACTCAGAGTTATGCTATTTTTGTGCTAAGTCCAGAAATTAAAGAAGCAAAGGGTGAGAGGGGGATCAATTTTGTGCACCATGCAACATGATTTACAATCTGTAAGTTTTTACAGCCACTCCATGAACACACTATTATTTACTGTATTTTAAAAGGGTAAACTTGAGTTTAGGAAAAGTGATATATCTAGGACTCCAGATCAATAAACTTTAGAGCTAGGATTCAAGTCTAGCAGAGCTGGACTTCAAAGTCTGGATCTTCCACTTGATCCCCAACCTTCGGTTACATTCTTTGTGGGAATCTAAGGTTCCAAAATATCTTCTTGACTTAAAGCAAATTGCTTGACCTTTTTATCTTTTAAGGTAAACAGAGTTCTTCCTTAGATTTTTATTTGGATAATCATAGCTGCTTCCTTTAGAATTTTCACTATTTGTGTCCTGATAGCATTGACCAATTTTTTGATCCTAGGGCTAGTTGTGAGAATAAAATGATCTTTATAATTCTCAGGACATAAGGGAAAAATCTGAATTTAACTTTGACTGTAAATGTGATACTATTCACTGTCTTTGTCAAAATTGATGATTCCAAAACAGTTTAAAAGGTAATGACTCACTGTTGATACTTAAATATGGCAATTTAAAAACTACAAATTTAATCGGTTGCTTATTTCACTATATAATATTTCTTCATGGAATGGTCAGAGTTCTGGGAAAAGCAAAACATCCTCTGTAATAGGAAAGACTACTCCTTGGGTTCCAAGCTATCTGAGAAACAGACTAGGAAATTTAAAAATTATGTACAGAAAAATTTATAAGAAAAACATGAATTTTAAATTATTATCTAGGAAAGTATGTGATTCTTCACAAACAGCTTCATACCACTATCATATTCAAGACTGAAGAAACAAAGTTTCGATTTGGAGCAATATGGCTGTCAAAATGATTCAATTGCTGACATGGCTGCCAATCAGTCAATAAACACTTGTTAGGTGATTCCCATGCTCATTCTGCACCTATACTAGATTGCTGGCGGGGATGTAAAAGAAGCATATTCTTATATCCATTCTCAAGGAGGCACAAGGCTGTGAAATTAATGCTTCCTTGGTACATATTATAAGTCATGTAGGAGTTGGGGGTGGGAGCTGGCAATTTTCAGGAAAGGTCCAAGAAATGTTTGGTAGAATAGTAGGATTTAAAACACAAATGAGCAAAGGCATGAAGAATGTGGCAGGTAAGTCATGTAGGGTAACATCAGAATGGTGATGGGGCTTGAGATGTGAGGCAGTGAAATTTAGTCTTGATATTTAAGGAAGTGTGGAGTCACTAGAGGGCACAGTGACTTGGATATAGGAGTATTTAAAGCATATTAATGATTTTTAAGCAAAATGATTGGAGGAGTTAGAAACAAAGTCAAGGTGATCAGGGTGGGATGACTAGCGTCAACCGTGTAGGCTACTCTGGTTCACTATAGTAAAGAAGCCAAAATGATGAGTATTTATAAGGAAGCATTCTATAGACCATGAACCCAAGGAAAAGAGGTAAAAATGGGCCTGAAAATTGGAATTAGTATGGCTACTAGACAGCGATAGGGAACTTGGAAGGGGGGACTAGTTTTAAGATTAAAAAAAAAAAATGGAGGGGGGGGGAAGCCTGAAGTAATGTTGATTCTAAGAGGAGCAATCCAATAAATAGTTGTTAGGCTTCACATCTGAGAACAAGTTTAAAAAGTAAATCATGAAGCTATAAGAACAGATAAGCTTAGCAATGGAGAAACAGATTTAGGGAGAAGGAAAGAAAGTGGAATCTGAAGTCAGAAAAGGTTGTGTAGTCAACACTTTTGAGGAAAATGGAGAAAGACACTGGGCTGGGAAAGGTGACATTGAAAACAGGTTGAAAAGAGTGAAGACAATGAGAGCTACATTTCAGAGGTGGAAATAAAAGTGGCTACTTGTGGAAAACTGGCACTGACAAAGAGGACCAGAACGTGGTTTGACTAAGGGAAACAAACGTCTGAGGATGATGGAATGCTTGGAGGATGAGACCATGGACAGCAGCGGGAGATTCTAAGGAATAAGTATAAAAGTTCCCCCAAGGGATGCACAGATCACAATGACAGTTTGAAGAGTTATTTTTGAAAACAGAATCTTTTCCTCTTAACCTGCCTATAGTAATCATAAATGATAATTTCTTTGCAAGAAAGGCTCAAGGGGCCAGCTTATTAACGTCATTTGGGTGTATGCAGAAAGACAAGATTGGTCAGACCAAAGACAGTTTGGGTTGACATGGAGATTTTGGTTTGTCAGAATCTGGTCCACCAGCAGGTAGAAGACCCTACACTGAAACAAATCTTATCACAATTTCTTAAAATTCAGTTATGGATTCAGTTTGGATCCAGAGAAAAATGTTTTTACCTTTTTATTTAAAAAAAGTCTTTTATGTTCCCATATATTATAAACAACATTTTACCTCTTCATGGAGTTTTCAAATTGGTTCACTGCTGCTTCAGATTCCATCTTCAGCTTATTTCTCTCCAACACTAATCCCTCTAGTTCATTTTTTAATCTGTAGTTTTCTTGCAAAACCTCTGAAAGATGAGAATCAGTAAAAGTTTGTGGCTGGTACAACTTTTTATCCATGGTTCCAGAGGAGTTTGCATTTCGTTTATTTGGATGCAAAACATCTTTCTTCAACCTTTTGACATTCATTTCTTCTCTGCCCTTTGAGTTCTGACTAGACAACATCATTCTTCTCTCCTTCTGAAGCTTCTCCACAGTTTTTGAAAGGTCTTGTATTTCTCTTCCTTTTGCAGCCAGTTCTTCATTGAGTCTCGCCAGTTTAGCTTTAGCATGAGCCTGCTCCACCTGGAATTCTATAGACTGTAAATCTTTATCATCTTTGCTGTTTTTCTTGAGCTCTAATTCAGCATTCTGGTGTTTGAGAACATTTATTTCTGCTTCAAGGTTCCTTACAGTGACTTGATGGGCCTCCTTAAGGTCCTCAAGTTCCGTCTCTAGTGCTTTAACCCTTGAGGAGCTGTCTCGTTGGTTTTGGGGTGTTTCTTTCAATTTGAAAGCGAGTAACTGTTCCTGCTGCTCTAGTCGTTGTTCATACTGAATCTGAGGAAAAGAATCTGTGTAATATCAAGCCCTTGCTCAACACTTTAGTTACTGTAGTTCTGCATTTTACCAGGCCCTACCCAGTCCTTCCTTGAGGCACTCATATATTCTGATATCTCCAACTCTAAGTCAAAAATATTGAAGTCCTACTCTCTGAAGGATATAACATTATATATTCTTACATATCTTAAATAATTTCATAATTGAGAATTTGCATCATAAATATTAAATCATACATGTAATTTGTATATCCCCAAATTAACTTTAAATCTTAATAAATTTAGAACTTAGAACTTATTAAATCAATATTATTAATTTTAATTCATGTAAATAAATTATAACCATTACTAATTTGATATGAGCAAATTAATATTAACCTATTTACATCCTTCTCCATGTCAAACATCAAATACTCTTTGATATTGGAAGAGTAAAAATGTGCTGTTTTTCTAAGAATTCAGTTTATTAATCTCATAATGAGTAAGACAGATTGGAATTTGTATACCTAAGCTTTAGTATTCGAAACAAATTAAACAGTCTACTCTATGGAGGGAGGAACTAATAGCGTTTGCTCATTCATTCAATATTTATTGAGCTACAATTCCATTCCAGGCATTGTGCTAGGTTCTAGAGATAAAAGAAAGTTCAGTTCTAGTTTTCAAATAGACCAAACCCTAGTGAGGACAGCAAGAGACCAAGTTACAATGAACACTGCAGTAATGGGCCTATGAACATGATGCAGAGTGGGAGAGGCATCCCAGTTCCTGGAAATCTGAGGAAGTGGGGGAAGAATGCAAAAATAGCACATTTAAGTTTGACCTTGAGGGATGAGCATAAATTTGTGGATGAATAGAAGGGATATTTTGGAATTAGGAAGAGGATATGTGAAAGTGACTGACTGCTTGGTGTGTACTGAGAATCAGAGAGGAAAGGAGGTAGTGACAGGTAGGGACTGTAGGCAAGAGTAGGATGGTGGATATTGTAAAGTGGGAAAAGTTATTAGTAGATTCAGATACATAAAAATGGCCGAGGGGTTGGAGTTCATAACTTGAGCCTTCAGCATGGTAGTAGGGTGTTACATGATACTTGATCCTCCTAATAGCTCATGACTTAGAAACTAATTAAAATATTAGTATCAACTCTGCGCCAAGCACCCAATTGAATAATGGAATATGACAATAAGAGCAGAACAGTCCCACCCATCATAGAGTTCAGCATCTAGAATGGGACAGAAACTGCTACTGATCCAATCCAAGTGGCTACAATTGTGGTAAATGACATCAGGGAGTGCTGCATGGGACTGAGAATGCCTATAGAGGTAATTCATCTACCAGGGAATCCAGCGGAGGTTTTGCTGGGATTGAAGGATAAGAACACCTTCACTGTGGGAAAGATGAGGGCAGAATATACAAGTTTCTGTGGCTGTAGGAAAATGGGAGAAGCAAGCTGGTGTGAATGAAAAGAAACATGGTATTAAAACAGACAACAAAACGGAACACTGGAAACCAAGGAAAGGTCTGGACTTCTGTGGGAAAATGCCATTTACTTACACTAAGAGCAACAGGAAGTTGTTAAAGGATATCAACAAAGGGGTGTATGTGTGTGGGTGTAAGATGGACATAAAAATATAATTTTAACTTTAATGTCAAGAATTAAAGGATAGGGCAAAGTGGTTGTGTGCAGAATAGTCAGGAAGTTATTACAGTAATCCAGCCCCCCCACCTTTTAAATTAATGATTGTATAGTGACATGTTATTAAAGAAACTGCAGAACTGAAAGATAATTGAGTAAAAGTAAATAATTGGCAGTAAGTTTCTTTCTTTTCCTGACAGGTTATGTAACTAGCAGAGTCATACTGGAACTGGGCCTCAATTGAGGGTCAGTCTGATGCTAACACTTTTTTTTCCCTTTGTTATATTCTCTTGATATATAGGGGACATGGTCTGCTAAAAGTAGAATAGGGGTAGAGATGGGGGGCAATATAAACTTGACAAAAAAAGTTGCAGCAAAGACTAACAAGGAAGAAGGAAGGATCAGATACATGCAATAGGCTTGTCAAATAGCACTGAAAGACTTCCTGAGACTGGACACACACATTCCTACAGCAACCCCGCTCTCTCAATTGTGTAGTCTTCAGACATTCAAAGTAGCATGACTGAAGGAGATGGGGTAAATGGGGGAACAAGGTGAGGACATTAAGGTGGGTGAAATGGGTGATAAAGAACATATACTAGAAACAATGAGAAAACAAAGTGAACCAGACGGGGGCTGAGAGATTTAAGAGGGTGGAATAGAGGAAACACAACTTGCTTGATATGACATTAATTTTCAGGTCTTTGTATTTGCAGGTTTTAAACTTTTTATTGTCCCTGGAATCTAATATTCTTTGTTGCTTCTCTCAGGATAGAAATCTGTGAGGTGCAGGACTAGCTTCCTAAAACCATTTGTGGCATAGGGTTTGGGGTTGGAGGCCTTGGATTTGAGCCCTGGCTTTGCCCCCTCCAGCAGTGGAACTCTGGGCAAGATGGTAAAATTGTGAACATCCAGTTCCCTCATCTGTAAGCCAGGGGAACAATGACTGGAAGAATTGTGCAAGGTGAACTGGCATATTCTTTAAAGCACCTAGCACAAACTCCTGACAAGAACATTGTGCTCAACAAATATTTAAAAGTAAATTAAATACCTCATCCTTGGTCTGTCCAGGCACTTACATTTTGATCCATTCCTACTTCACAAAGGAGTGGAAGATGATCCCCTGGCCTAACCCACAAAATGTATATTTTTGTCTTTTTTTTTTTTTTTACTCATGGACATAAATTTCAGTGAAAATATTTTTTGTTATGTTAATTTCCTTTTATTCTGAATATGTATCAGGTGTTTTTACTCTGCTTCATCCTTGACTTACTCTTAATATTCAAATTAATGGAGATTAACAATGAAAAGATTATCTTGTGCCTTAAATAAAAACAAATTGCTCAAAGAGGACAAGATAGGATGGAGCTGTTTGCCACTTGTGGTAAGGAATTTTGTGGGCAATGATGCTTAGAGCTAATTGTTAAAAAGGATTTAGGAAGGGCCATCTCCTTGTTCCCAGCTCTGAGCTCCATCTCTCTGGCTACCTCGCCCTTACCTTCATTTTCTGAAACTGTTGTTCCATGGTACGCAGGCTTTTCTTTGCTTCTTCATCTTTACCCTCCAGATCAGCTTCTAGATTTTTTATCCTTTTTTCCATAAATTCCACTGTGTTTCTATCTACTGTATCACCAGCTGCTGATGCAGCCAATATTAAAGCAGGTAAAGAATTGGGATATCTTCTCTTCAGAATTCCTTCCATTTCCTTAACCTATTAAAATATTTTTTGAACATATGTAAGGTCACAAATATGTACAAAAATGAAGTAGTTTAATGTATAAACTTAGATGATTCTCAGTCATTTCTAAATCTCAGAGTGCTTATTATAGCAGGCCTCTAGACTGAATCAAAGGCACAAAAGTACAAATTAATTTCAAATTCCTAGATTACCTGATTTAAAATTACCCTATGGTAGTGTCTAACTACTGGTTAATTTACAGAAATCCTTTTATAGTCACTTGAGACACATTTTCAGCCTTTCTTTAGGTAAAAACCAGTCTGAGTGCAAAGTTGTTCTCCTACCTCTTTTTCCCACAGACCCCCTTATGTGATAGTGGTTCTACTCCTCATTGATTGCATGTGCACATAACTAATATTTCAAACTCTGGCAATAAACATAGAGCTTCTTAAGCACTTGCTCATCAGCAACAATCTTGCCCCTACTTCAACATCCCCCCAAGGTCCCCTCCAAAAGAAGTTGAATCTAATTTAAAATAACTTCTTTTAATTGAGAATCAAGGCAGATTTATAAAGATTTCATTAAAAATCATCTAAAGACTAAACACTTCTCATTTCATTGATATAATATATGGTCTTTCTATAAGACAGAACTGTATCAAGAGTCCACAGAAGTTACAGCTTGGTCTTATATATGACTGTGTGTATATACCTGGCATTTTAAAAGGTATTATGGTTAAGATATCCTTGAAAAACACATTAAAACATTAAATTTTTGTTATTAGTTTTCTAGCCTATAAGCATGCAACAAAATATATCTGAGAGGCAGACTAGTACTATTGTTAAAAGTATGTTTGGTTTGACTGTACCACCGGCTTAGGGCCCTGGGTCAACTCCTTAATCTAAACCTCTTGCCTTGTGGGTAAAATGAATATGCTAACAGTATAGTCATAAGGTGATAGCATTAAGTGAAGATTAGATGGTTTTCATCTTGGGCACCTGGGAGAGGGACCAACATTTACTGGGGAACTGATAAATGTTGGATTTTATTATGAATTTTTCTAAAAAACTACCTAAGGCAAGATAAGTTGCTGGTGCTCAAAATCCTGTTTATATACTAAATATTATTCATATTAGCCATTTAAGGGTCACACCATTTGCAAAATAGTATTTGTACCTGGATATATCCCAGTTTATAGTGCATCAATGAACATGCAAGCATTTACTAATACCTTATTTCATCTATAAAAATTCTTAAGCTTTGTTTCCTCTGTATTAAAAATCTAGTTATTTGATGAAGTTGTAAGCATATGCATAGAATACATACCACATATATTAAAAGAACTAGATTTTCTTAAATGAATTTGTTAAAATATTTATAATTAATGTAGTCATTTAAAATTTTAAGAGAGCTGGGGGAGCCAGGCATGGTGGCCCTTGCCTGTAATCCCAGAAGGCTCATAAAGGAGGATTTCGAGTTCAATGCCAGCCTCAGCAACTTAGTGAGACCCTGTCATTAAAAAAGGGATGGGCTCAGTGGTTAGGCATCCACAGGTTTAATCCCTGGTTTAAAAAAAGAGGGCTAGGGGAGTAGTTTAGTGGTAGAGTGCTTGCCTAGCATGCATGAAGCTCTGGAAATTATCAAAATTAAATTGAAATTTTTTTTGTGATATCTTAAATTTTAGTTTTTCCTAAAAATGCTATAGTTTATTTCTATTTTTAATTTTGCCTTAAAATATTCTTTGGTCAATGGGACCAATATAACTGGTATACATAGTTTAGTTTTCAGTAAGGGTTTTTAAAAATATACTATGAAATATTCCATTAAATAAAAGTGAACAAATACATTTTATAATTTCAAATTATGTGTATCTAATTAGCCCTGTTTTTACTTATGCTCTATTTAGAAAAATAAATATTTTTAATTAATCTGTTTCTGAATATACTGTGGTATACCTTAATTATAAAATACATATTCAGGTCTACAATTATTAAAATGCTAAGAAAACAGAATACATAAAATCTGAAATGTACATTCAGTATTCTAGCTACACAAAATACCATTAAATGATGAATGTTTTATATAGATATAATCTAAGATGATAAAAATCAATGAATATTTTATGAAAGTATTAATAAAAGAGGTTACTTTTATAAAACAGTGTATTTCTGGTCAATATAGATCACGATTTGAAGTCTTAATTTTGATATTTAGTATGTTTTCTTTCTTTACTGTCACACGTTCAGTTCTACAAGATTTCTCTTTAAAAAGTCATCAAATGGAGAGGTAATTTCTTTGGTCTTTTTTTCTCCCACAATTGTTGATTTCTTCAACATTGGTTAATTTAAATTTGAAGCAAAATCTTGGACTACACTCACTCTAGAATATTTTTAGCTTTTCAAACCTCTTTTTTTCCTCTTCGTTTCTTGTCCCCTGAATCAAACTACTAAATCATACCTTTCAACATAAGCAAATGTCCTGTAAAAGTAACAAAGTTTTTAATTTTCCTCCTGCTCACAAAACTAGGATAATTTTCATCCCACTGATGACCTCACAGTTTGAGATTTGTGATGGAATAATAGCCATATGTTATTGACTACAGAATCATGCTCCTTCATGAACAAGGCTGAAAATTCTTATTTTAATGTTTAGTTAAGAATATAAATGCTATATTAAGGTGTTTTTTAAACAGATGAAAAAAAATAATCGTAATTTTTGGTGGAGGCACAATTATATTAACTACAAGGCTCAAGTGATCCTCTTGCCTAAGCCTTTCCCAAGTAGCTGGGAATATGGGTATGTCCCACCATGCCTGGTGGTGACATGCCTAATTAGATCCTCTGTATGATTTTAACATTTTCCAAGCATTATCAACATGTTCCCAACTCAAGGACTTTTCTTCCTGTGCTCTTCTGTCACCTATCTTTCTTTGGTCAGAAGAAGTAGTGATTTATTTCTTTTGAAAGAGATGAGGTTGCCCAGGTTGTCCTGAACTCCAGCCACCTTTTGTCCCAGGCTCCTGAGCAGCTAGGACTACAAGTGTGTACCATTGTGCCTGGTTTATGAGAAGGAATACCCAACTCTATATCCAGAACTTTAACTTTCTGTTCCTTTCTTCTTTTAGATGTCTAATGGACCTGGGACCAAAATAAACTTTCATCAATAGGTCTACCATGTTATAACTGATGCACATTAGTCTAAAAATTCTTTATAAAGCTATAGATTATATAGTAATTTTTAAAAATTAATGTTACTTTAAAACAAGATTCTCCAGGTTAATGACATCTAACACAGACTCCTCAAACAAAATGCCCTTTACACAAAAATACCTTAAGATTTACCCTTAACACATACTTGTCGCTCCAGATCTTGAATTTTTTTGGCATCACATGCTCTATCTTTTGAACGTAATTTTTGCTGAGCAGATGAATTCCCAGATTCGGCTTTCAATTTCTCAACCTGTCAATAAAGAAAGAATAGGTTAAGTATTTTTAAAACCTACCAAGAAAGGCCTAGGGGAAGCATAATTTTGGTTCATTCATTGATTGGTTCCTCAACACTGAATGAGCTCCTCCTTGAGTGCCAAGTACAGCCCGGTGCTGCTGAAGATAAAGAGGGCAAAGAAGACAAACTGGGTCTCTGCTCTCACAGTCTACTGCTTTGCAAGATAGTTGACAAGCTAATAAATCAATCAATTAGTAACTAAAATTACTTCAGAGTGTGACAAGTACTATGAAGAAAATAGTGAAAAAAAATAAGAACAAAGAGTAGAAGGGGTGGAATTACAATACATAAGGGATTACAATACCTAAGTACAATAGATAAGCGAGTCAGGAAAGGTCTTTTCTGGGGGATAGAAATTTGAGCTGAGACTTAAACAGGAAAGAACAGTGAACATGGAAAAACAGGCCAGAATATTCCAGGACAAGGCAATAAGTGGAACAAGGCTGGCACATGCCAAGAATGAGAACTCTGGTGTGGTTGGAGGGGAGTGACTTGGGGGAGTAGGTACTAGCCAAGGCTGAAGAGGAAGGCAAGGTTCAAACTACATGGCAATCTGTCAGGCTGTGATAAGGAGCTTGCATTTATTCTCAATTCTAATCTAAAATTGACTATCTAAACCTGAACCTAAACCATCTATTTAAATTAACAGGCTTCAGATTAATAATGCAATGACACAGGGTTATGTAGAACTGACAATGAGGACAACAGGGTTCATCTGCAGAAATACATTCTGAAATGGTCTATTACCTCAAGTTTCAGCTTCTCAATTTCTTCATTTGCTTCCTTAAGCCGAGTTGCATCTTTGTCCAGAAGTTCCTGATTTTCAGCATACCATTGTAACCTTTTTTGCAGACGACTGATTTCTTGTTTATGTGTTTCTTCTAAAATTTTTATTTCATATAATTTTTCACCTATAGAAAAAAGTATTTCTATCAGGTTATTGCGTTTTTTTTAAGTATGGAAAGAAGATTTTGAATAAAACCATTGCCCATTTAATTAAAGCATTATGAAGAAATAAGAGACCTAAAATAACTGATATACAATGATATACTCATAATGGGAGACAAGAAACTGTATTTATAATCCAAATCTTCAATCTCAAACTTGTTGATTTGGAAATTTTGAAAAAAAATTTTTTTTTTTCTCCACTGACTTTTTTTTTAAAATAAAAGTAAAGTTGTTTTCATGGAAAACTAAAGGTTGATTAAAGAGATAAAAGTGAAGAATTCATACAATTATATTTAAAAAGAACACTGGCAAATGTTCCTGAGTGCTTAGCATGTATTAATTTATTTACCACAATAAACTTCAAGAAAAAAGTTTTAAAACATTTAAATTTTTTTTTAAAAAAAACCTCATTATTCTATTCTACAGAGGAGGAAAGCAAATGTCATTTTCTTACAAACAGGTAAGAATGGATTTCTTTGTGCATATCTTACACTGAAGCTAATGACCCTGTAGAGGAAAGATCCTTACTTTGGCAAACAAGAGTTCTTCTGATTTTTCCAGCCATGTGTTCTGCTAGCCTAAGCTCCCATCCACAGGTGCACTTAACAATGTGCTCAGGGTACACACTTAAGCAGCTTCCCTCACTTTCCAATGACACTCTTCTCTGAAAATTTTATTTAGCACTCCATTTCCTCTTGTTTATTTGTAACTTTTTTTCATAATTTTTTTCTTAAAGTTATCTGCATTCTTATCTTATACTCCCTTGACAGTGGAGACTGACATTATATGGTCTTCAGTATTTGCAAAATGAACACATAATACTGCACTGTATTTTATAGAGAATGTTTCAAACTCAGGGATAAAAAAAGACAGACCCTGTCACTGGGAAATTTGGTCCCACTGAAATGACAGACATGTAAACAACTATTAAAGTTCAAAGAATCAAGATTTTGAATTCATGATTTTTGTAACTATTCCTGTTAAAGCTGATTAAAAACTTGCTAAAAAGTGTAGTACCTTTAAACATGTTTCTGAAATTACAATATACGTCAAGGAATAGTCTTAATTGTATCATTCTGAGATAGGAGGACTCTTTGGGAAAAAGATAAAACTCTTATTAGATGGAGACCCAGAGCTATGACCATGACTGGCCATGCTGTCTCTTCAGTTAGATGAACAAAACCTCCAGTGTATGCTTGTACTAGATCATTTAGGACAAAAACAATCACTTGTCAGCAGATTCAAAGACCTAAGATTCAATGTACCCAAGATCAATTTATAGCTAGACTACTTAACCAAGAAGATATATTCTGAACTGCAAATATCAAATGATTGACATAGGGTTCGATTTTTCACAAGTTTGCCTGGGAACCTCCACATTTCTTCCTAGGAAAATCCTATAGTCAGAGAGCTCTACTCTGGGTGCATCACTTTGTCTTCTCTTCTTGGAGAGGTGAGGGGTATCTGCATCCTGCCTTTGGGATGTGTATACCTTTGCTTTGTTGTCCTTTAATAAATCTTTGCTTGTGCCTTGTTTTGATGCATCTTGAAATTCTTTCCAGTTGTCATTAATCAAGAACCCTCCTGGGCCCAAGTTGAAGTTCCACTGGCCCCTTAGAGGGACCTCTCAGATTCATGTCCAGTGATAATTAAATTTATACTACTTAAAGATTAGAGCAATTATGAATATAAATGTAAACTGTTTCAACTCTGTTTTACCAGTGGCATAAGCAATCTGATCTTTGGCTTGGTCCCGCTCCTTCTTCATTTTTTCTAAGTCTACTTCAAGACCTTGTTTGTCTTGCTTCAATCTTTTGATGTCTTCTAATAAACCGTATTTTTCTTTCTTGATAACAGAGAAACACAAAAGTAAATTACTTTCAAACACAGATTTTTGTATAGTTTTTGCAATCAATCCATCAAAAATAGTGCTGTTAAATTTTTTCTAAATTTTAGTTCTGATTTTATTACTATCACCTGCCCCACCCTGAATCATGAGTAGCTTCCCAGAGCCTATTAAAATTAGCTCTAATCTTAGCATAGTATTAAAGATCTTCCAATCTATTGATCTAATTCTTATGTTTACTAGCCATATTGATGCTCATTTGCCTGAATTGCTCATCTCTTGCTGGATTGTTGCAATAACTCCTATCTAGTCTGCTTCTTCTACCCTGAGCCACTATAGTTTATGTTCCTCAAAGTAGTTGGCAGAATTGTTGCAGTTAGTTCATTATAGTTTGGATATGAGGTGTCCCCTAAAAGCAGGAATATTCAGAGGTGAAATAGATTATGAGAACTGTAACCTAATCAGTCCACCCTAGTTTGAATGAACTAACTAGGTGGAAACTGTAGGCAGGGGAGGTGCAGCTGCAGGAGGTAGATCACTGGTAGTGTGCTTTCCTGTACTTCCCCTTTCCCTCTGCTTCCTGGCTACCATGATCCAAGCAGCCTTCCTCCACCAAGCTTGTCATGTTTTGCCTCACCTCAGGCCCAGAGCAATGGAGCTGAATGATCATAAACTAACCCTCTGAAATTATGAGCCAGAATAAACTTTTCCTCCCCTAAATTTTACTTATCAGGTATTTTGATCACAGTGAGGAAAAGCTAACACAGTTAATATCATAGCCCTGAAACACTCAGGTGGTTCTTCTTGGGATTAACCCAAAGTCTTTAGCATGACTTTCAGTCACATAATCCAGCCTTGACCATGACTGACCACAACTGCTATAAATATTTTCTCTCCTTTTCCATTCTAGACACAGAGACCTCATTAGTGTTCTTTGAATACCCCCAGAACTCTCCTACCTCAAGGAGTTTGTACTTATTGCCTCTTTTGCCTACAGCATTCTCTCCCTGGATAGCCATGTAGCTTGCTCTTCATTTTATTGGAATTTTGGCCTAAATGAAGCCCCAGGAAGGCTTTCTCTGACCATCCTCTCTGAAACAGCAAGCCTTATCCTGGCCCCCAGGTACAGAGTTTCATTTTCTTCACACAGCACTCTTTACTTTCTGACACATTAGCTATTTATCCAGAAGCAGAATTTTATTTTGCTACTCTTTGTATGATAAATGCATAAAAAATGCCTGAGACTTTAAAAAATACTAAATGAATTCTCAATGTTCTATATTCTTAATACTCAAAGTGCCATGCCCCATTGCTTGGCTAGACAAAAATCATATTTATCGCTCAAATTCAGCTAAATGACTAGTGATAATACCCTCTTCTGTGCTTCTACAAACTTTTATACTTTTAACGTGGCATGTATTACTTTTTATTTCATGTAACATTGATTTGTGTACATGCCCCTTCTCTTTACTAGGCTAAAAGCTCAGTGGAGATTAATTGCTACTGTTTACTTTATGGTACTAAGCACATGGCATGTAGTCAATAAATGTTTAATGAACCAAATCCATAACTGCTAAAACAACAACAACAACAAACAATAAACTCTTGGGACTCATGGCAGTATATTTGGTTGCAAAATAACAAATTTTAAATTAGTACCACCTTAAAAAACTTGCAAATAAAATGAGTGTATTCATAAAACATTGTATAATCTTTTTTTATAGCTACCTTACAGATTTAACTATCATTTTAATTGTCTATGGATGTCTTTTCAGGAGCACTGATTGTTGAGTTTTTGAATATTTGGGTATCTTTTTGCAAATGCCTTGTTTAATTAGTTTAATTTAGAAATGTTCTCTAGGAATTCTTACTTGATAGAATTACATAATGTTAGAATCCAAAGGATCTTTAAACGTTTCGAGTTTAGTCTGGCAATCAATGCTTAAATGGGTGTCCACTCTGGGCCTGCATATGTCCAAGGGATGGAAACTGCCCACCTTCAAGAAAACCTGAATGCCTCAAGTTAATCTTGTGGGCCATAGGTAGGTAGTACTATTTTCCTTCTCCTTTAACTCATTATGCAGACATTCAGAGGTCTTTGTCTACTTAATCTTCCACGGCTCATATTTTCCCACCCATTTCTGCTTCCCAGAAGGTAACTTGGGGCTTTTTCATTTACTCTTATACCTGGCTAAAGACTCCACCTCAGCATGATTGGTTGCTGCTTCTCTTAAGCTCTCAACTCAAATCTTTTTCAGAGAGCTTCCTTGTCCCCACTATTAAAAGCTGCCTTACCTCTAGTGCTTTGAAGAAAATTAAAACACAATAATGAGAAGCAAGGTAATTTCTCTCTGTAATTATTTGTGTACTTAATGCCTATCTTCTCCATTAGCTTATAAGTTATCTTCATGAGAAGTGGAGACAGAAAAATTTTCTTGGCATCTCAGTCTCTAAGTAATGTATGTATATACAGAGTGATTAGATACGCAGGTAGATTGATTGGAATTTTTTCTAACTCCACTATTTTGCTTAAAGATGTGGTCCTTTTTTAAAAAATTCTTAAAAAATTATTATTTATTTATTTTTGCATTACCATTTTTAATACACCTTTTAAGATATCCTGAGTTTATTGTGAAAGTTGCTGATACCAAGATGAAATTGTTCTTGTCGGGCCCAGACAAAAGTAGTGTCAGGAAATAAATAAAGGGGTAAGGGCTCATGTCTGAGACAAGGACTTTCACAAAAAATCAAAAACAACCATTAGAAATTCCTTCATCTTCTACGTGTAGCCATGCCTGTGCAAGCCTTGCATATATCACATAATTATGTAACAAAGTTTAACTGTAGTATTTTTTAAGACTGCAGAAATTCAGATAAGGTACTTTCCACAGGAGATACTCGCCCAGCAACAGCATCTCCACTAATGAGCTCATGCCAACTCATGCCTCAGGTCTCCAAGACCAATGAACTTTAAATCCAAGTAAGTTACTTGGATTTCTCCTCTTTGAATTTCAAAACTACTCCTTCCCTGGGTTCAATCCCCAGTACCCCAATCAATCAATAAAATCTTCCCCTTTCCTCAACCTCTTTGAGTTTACTATGAATGTATTTCCAATGCAATGCTCTGCAGGTTCCAAATAAACTTAATTCTTTATTAAGGAATCTTTCTCTGTGTTGTTTAGCATGACAGTACTTAGCTGTTAAAGTTCAGGCCTTGACAGTGCAGTGGTGCACGCCTGTAATCCCAGAGATTGGGGAGGCTGAGGCAGGAAGATGGCAAGTTCAAAATCAGCCTCAGCAATTTAGTGAGGCCCTAAGCAACTCAGCAAGACACTGTCTCTACATAAAATATAAAAAAAGGGCTGAGAATATGGCTCAGTGGTTAAGAACCCCTGGGTTCAATCCTCAGCATCAAAAACCAAAAAAAAAAAAACCAAAATAAAACAAAATAAACAAAGTTTAGGCCTTGTGGTTACTGAACCGGAGACCTGAAGAGCAAATACTTTCACTGCCAGGTTTTTACTCCTCTTTATTTTTGGCCCCCTAGAGATTTATCCAGTACTTTTTTTGGGTATTTTGGTGGAAATTCAATCTTTTTAATTTGTCATAAAAATGTTCAAAGCAGAACTTTTAAAAAGGTCCCTAAACAACATTTTTTGAATGAAGACTGTACTATATTATACTATATTCTTCCAACCTTTCATCTAAACTATGGCAAAACTAATTTGTTTTAACTTGATAATTTTTGAGGCTCACTAGTAAGGGCTAGTAGGTATCCAGTCATTTATTTATTTTTTTCAGTCATTGATTAGGCACATTGGTATAAAGAATAATTCTATACATGCATGCACAAATGCTTCTGAAGTTCCCTCATGAATTTATATGTGAAGGTACATTTTACATGCTACAAAAATCTGTTAAACATCAATTATTAAATTGTTACATTTAGATTTCTAAGTGACCTAATTGTACAATAAATTTCTTACTAAAAACTAGTACATAATTAAAATTTTTCTATTTACATAATCATTCGAACAGATTGAAATGGTTTTTTCAGTTTAGTGGTATGCCTTTTTATGGGAGGGGAAGGGAGAAGTAACTTTACACAGGATGTTTGAAAAATGTGGCTAAAAATGATTGGTGGGTACTATGAGCATATAGTTCCTGGGGACACATAAAGCATGTAAATATACAATACTTCTGTTTAAAACGGAACTAATTTTGATATAGTTTCATGTCATAAACACCTGTTGAAAGAAGATCCATTCTAAATATAGTATTATGTTGATTGTGCTAAAGTTAAGGTCACATGTAAACTAAATGCTAATCAAATATTTGCTCTTAATTTTTATTTTATTTCTTTCTGGTACTGGGGATAGAATCAAGGCCTCATGCCTGGTAGGCAAGTGCTGAGCCATATACCTAGTCTCTGAATTTTAAAATGGCATAAATTTAAAAACAGTCTTATGGTTTATACATAAGGTGTTCCCAAGTGAGACAATGCAAGAAAGTTTGCAGGTGAAATGACAGTTATGAGAGTTGTTTTAACGAGTGTATCAATCCAATAGGGATTAACTAGGCAGATAGGATGTAGCAGAAGGAGATGGGTCATGACTCTGGGGTATATTTTTTTTCCTGGTGAGGAACTCTTTGCCTCCTGGTTGTCATGTCCTGAGCGGCTTTCCTCTGCTACATCTTCCATCATGATGTTCTGCTACATCTAACGCACACAGCTATGGAGATGGCCATCTATGGACTGAGACCTCTGAAACTTAGCCCCAAATAAACTTTTCCTCCTCTAAGTTTTCTTGTGAAATCTTATGGTTAGAGTAGTGAAAAATTTAAACAAAGACCTTACTCAAAGTATTATAAAAACAGATTTTTTTTGACACATGTGGGGATTCTTATAATGATCTTTACTGTCACTAATAGTTAAAATCCTTATGCAACTTACCTGTACCACCCGTAGTTCTGCTAATAGATCTGTAAAACTCTGGTTTCTGGTGGGTTCTGAATCTTCAACTGCATGAGACAGGAATCGACTTCTGTGTATCTGTTCTCTAATTTATTTTAAAAAAGAGTTCTCTTTTTTATAAGGTACTCCTTTAAATACAAAATATTATACTCTAAAAATTAAATACTAACCAATATTGGAACTTACAAATCACTAAAGATAAAAATTTCATTTAATTTAAAGATTAAAATACTAACCTATAAAAATAGAAGTATACTTTAAGGGTAATGCTTAATTTCATCTAAAATAATTGAAATCCTAAAATTATTGGTTTATTTGCAATATAAAAATATTTTCTCCCAATTTTCGGAGGAAAAAAAATCAGTGGTGCAAAAAAAAAATGTGCTGGCTGTTAATTTTCTTTGGTGTTAAGGTACTCTTTATCCCACTGTTCTACACTCCTTTCTGTGGAACAAAAATTGCCAATTTTATTCATGGAAATTAACAAAACCAAACATTACTATTTAGATCTCAGATTCAATTTTTCTGTTTTTCCAGATACATTATATATAAAGAGTTTAAAAATTTATATAAGACCACCAAGCTCTAGTACACTAAAGAAACTATTTCATCATGAAAGTTCACTTAGAAGTTAGCTTTGGCATCCTACAATAGTTCTTTTTACAAGCCAGGTAGTGTAAGATAAGACAGTTTAAAACTTGTTATGGAAACATCTAGAAAGAAAGCAAATATAACTGCTTTCATGTATTAGAACTGTGCTGATCATCATATTTGGCTTTGGTTACACTACCGAGAAAAAATGGGTATTTTTAATTTTTTAAATTTACACAAAGGTGTCCTGTTTTGCAACCCATGTGGCTGCTAGTTTTGTCTGCTATGGGGTGTGCCTTCTACTTTGCATGAAAGACCAATATGAGCTAATGGCAGCCATGCCTTTTTTGCCCTAGGCTCATCTAACAACCACCATAATGGAAGAAGACGATGAATAAACATAGTCAACTTATAATATTTATGATCAAAGAAATTTTTCCTAATAATGGTCCTGTCTGAGTGATTTAGTGTTTATATATAATAGTGTACAAATACTAATCATTTGCAAAAAGAAGATAGCATCCTAGCTTTTCCATATTTGTGGGTTCAGCATTTTTACTTAATATCTTAAAGCTGGAAGTAGTAACATCCAAAAGACCTTATAATCAGAAATATGAGTAAGTAGGTGCTGGTACTCCATTGCCTTCTGTGGTAAGTGTTCACTGATAAACTCACAGGTGTCTCCTCCTCTGGAGAAATGCCCTCAACCAAATGGTGATCCCTAGCTCAGAGGATATCTCCTACTCCTTCCCAGGGTCATCCAGTAAGTGCCTGAGGATGCCCTCTGGTACAATCTATTCTCCTGAGCTTCCTGGAGGGAACAGAAAGAAGCCAGGCTCCATCCAGTAGGAACTATATTCTTACCTACTTTCTCTCTCCCTTTCCCAACTTGTTTCTCTTGTTCCCCTTTTCTTGAGGATAAGTTATTCCACAGCACATCACCTTCACAATGATCTCCATCTTAGGTTCTGTTTCTACAGAGCCTGATTTAAGACTGAAGTGATCTTGTAGACTTGCATCTCAGGCTTAATGACTGATCAAGAGAAACACTATCTTCAATTTTCTGAAAATGATGTCATACTCAAGTATGAATATGTTGAAATAGTACTAAAATATATACTAGTCATCCAATATGCAAAAATTACTAAACTGGACATCAGTGTATAAATAAAAATAAATGTGAAAATAAGTAAATATTATTTCTAAGTAAAAACTAGTATATTATTAACATACTAATGCTTAGAATGAGTCTAAATATATTTGATTGTAAGAATTTTAAAAGGACTTACTTTAAGGAGGCTAACTCACTGAATAAACTCTGGTTTTCCTTAAACATTCGCTCTTCATTTTTCTTGTTTTGGTCTTGGAGATCTTTCACTTGATTATATAAACGTTCATTTTCCTTTTGAAAAACAGAAAATTGCATTTTAGTTAAGTCAGTAGTATTTATATAATATACTTGTAATAGATAAATCTTTTAAGTATTTTTATCTTTGAAATTTCTTTGAGTATGTAAAATCTTTTTCAAATTTTTTATATTGTCTTAGAAGACTTTGTGTCTAAAAACAATTATTTCCAAAATGTTTAAAATGCTTGGCTGAAAAGCTGTGAAATTTCATAAAGCTTAAGAGCTCTGTATCTTTAACACACTGAATTTCAAGGGGTAAGTGAGAGGGTCTCTGAAGGTATCATAACATCCCAACTGTGTTGGCCAGGGAAGGAAGGCCCAGTGGGACACTGTATCCTATTGTTTCTGTCCTGAAAGCCGGAGGTGGAGTAGGGGGGATCACTCCTGGAAGAAGACTCTGGAAGGCCAGCTTCCAGCAGTGAGATATTTAGACAGTCAGATGTATCCATAATGGGTATTCATTCTTATATCTGAAACTGATAAAAGAGTTAAAGACCTAGTGTTTCTGAAAGTTGTCAGGACAAGGCAGAGCAAAGAACAGACCCATTTAACATTGGTGTTTGAGCTAAAGAGTGACTCAAACCAGCTGAGATCAGAGGGAGAAGAAAAAGTTCCAATTGGCATTTAAATTCTCTAACCTACCAATCTCTTTAAAATTAAGAATGTGATAAAAACCAAGGGATTTTTGAAGATTCAGTGAAAATTATGGACTATCTGTGTCTTAGACTAGTGCCTGGAAGATGGCACTTACGTATGTACATAATTAATGATACCCTCCAAGTGCCCAGATAATATTGTATTATCTTCATGAGAGAGATGGTTGACATCCTTTGGGTCTCGTGAAATATTATAAATTCCTGCTTTATATGGCAACATTAGAGGGCAGATAAAGAATCTGAACAGTTTTCACTCAAAGATGCAGTGTGTTTGATAAAATCTGACTATTTAGAGTGAATCATACATGTAGAAAAGCTTTTGTTAGAATAATGCATGGTTCAGTGCTCATATGCTAGGCATCGAAGGAGACAAATGTAATAAATGAGGAGATGTGGAGAGGAATAGAGATAAAGTTCATGCTAGAGATCTCAGCCTTCCTTATCTGTTAGGGCAGTATTACCAAGATTCCATTACACATCACAGACATGTGCCTTTGTAAACAGGTCTTCTCACAGTAAACCAAAAAAACCTGTTCACCTTTAGGGCCTTACCAACTGATTTCAGATTCATATTTCTGAATATAAGAGCAAAACTAGCCAATATTTTTACTATGAAGCATTGTTGAAAACTAAAGAAAAATATAATAGTTTCTAAGGAACATGGCTATTAAGACAAATAATTGGTTACTCTACACCAGGCTAAAAGTGTACCTACTAGAAGTTAAATTATACCGTCTTATTTGATTTTACCATTACCTTATGAGGGAGTACTATTACTGTTATCCCTCTTTCACCAATAAAGAAACCAGCTTAGAGAGTGAGGGGATTTTCCCATGTGTGTACTCTAAGTGGCAGAACCAAGACTCAAAACCAGGCACTTTGAATCTAGAACCCATGCGCTTAGCCACTAATTCTGCCACTTTAGTCAGAAATGACTAAATAGTCTAATTATTACATGGGCACAGAAATATTTTAACATGCCTCATTTTTATAATGTAAGGATTAAAAGCAAATCTGCCATTCCAATTCTTTAGAATTGCCACACCTGTTGATATCCTTGAAGAAGTGTCTCTTGTTCTTGTATTTCTTTTTGGATTTGCTTCAATTTTTCTCCAGTGACAGGATCAGTTATGTCTCCAAAATGTAACCATCTTTGTTTTCTGTTTGTTTCTTCAAAGCCACTTAACTTTGAGAAAATGCAGAAATTGTTTTATTTGGGAAGGGAAATGATGCAGCGAGAAGTTAAGAAGAATAATAGAAAACACCAAGTGCTTAGACCTAAACTGTCGTAAAATACTGACCACTCTGAAATGTAATGTAACTATAGTTAAATCATCAGTGATGTTTTGTGCTGATGTCTCTGGTAAGTGAAGGATCAGAAATGTTACAGAGAAATTCTCAGAATCGAGAACTTCCATATACCTTCTTGAAACTTAAGATTTCTCTGAGGGTCACAATGAACTAACAGATTTGTTTTAAAAAGGACTGCTAACAAAGGAAAATCAATTAAAATTTAGACCCCTCCCTGCTGTGGTTCAATTTACACTCCTGTAAGGAAGTATACTCTGGCACCATTTCTGTATCTTCTATAGCAAACGTAACAATTTACCAGAACCAAAATCAAGTATGATAGTGCGTTTAGCAAGGAGTACAGGTTTTTTTTTTCTTTTTTAATAAATAAAAATAGAACAATGTGTTAGTACCTTGGCTTGAAGAATATAATTTTCTTGATTCAATTTGAGTATCTCTTTTTCTTGCTCTCTTTTTTGTTCTTCCAACTTACTTTCTAGTTCTTTTTCTTTTTCTGAGAATGTGACTTTAATTTGCTCAATTAGGGCCTGTGCGCCCCTCCATTTCTCCTCTGCTTCCTGAACTCTTTTAAACATGAATGATTCTTTCTCTTTGTTTTCACCACAGTATCCTGAAGAATCCTTTTAAGGAAAAACATAACTTCATTATTTTACATATAAAATTCAAAAACTGGTACTTGTAAAAAAAAAAAAAAGACAAAGAATAAAAATAATAGGACTAAAAATGCTCTGTTACATAGAATAGCATCAAGAGGGCTTAGAATATCAGTCTTGAAAAAAAAGAAATTTCACATTGTTATTTCTATATATTAGCACATTAATCATATATAATGGATTCACTGTGGTATTTCCATATATGTATATAGCATGCACTGATACAACATTGTTATTTATTTTTATTCCCTTGTGCATACTTATTTGATTCTTCATTTGTATAAATGCTTATTATACTGTAATCAGTGGTTTTTTAATTGATTTTTAAAAATACATGGCAGAATGCATTACAATTCTTATTAAACATACAGCATAATTTTTCATCTCTCTGTATATAAAGTATGTTCACGCCAATTCATGTCTTTATAAGTGTACTTTTTTTGCATTACAATTCTTATTACACATAGAACCACAATTTTTCATATCTGTTTGTATATAAAGTATTCTTATCTTCATACATGTTTTTTGGATAATGATGTCCATCACATTCCACCATCCTTGCTAATCCCCTGCCCCCTCCTTTTCCCTCCCACCCCTCTTCCCTATCTAGAATTCAATTTAGTTTTGAAATGATTTTTGAATAAAAAAGTTATAAATTCAATGTGAAATTTAATACCTACAGTCTGAAGCTGAACATAAGAATCAGCTGCTGTATGATCTTCAGACTTATTAGGAGTGGTCAGGCAACCTTCACTTTTGGGAGTCAGTTTATTCAAAGTTGCAGGCTTGATGAGTTTTGTTCCAGATAAGATATCTAAATATTGCAAATAATGGATGAAAATGCCACAAATGTAAACTTGATGTGCATTCAGCAATTATGTAACAATAAATATGAAAACAGTAGGAACACTGAGATAAATGGAGAATCTCTAAACAGGCTGATGAACAACAGGGCAACACAGCTGTGTTACACTGATAATTGTGCTCAAAAGAACTGCCACCCTTAATAAACATTCTTCTCAATGTGACACAGATGGCTAAATGGCCCAGAACATATCACATAGCAAATGGAGCTAAATAAATGTGAGGAGACTGAACTGGGATAACTTCATGCTTTATTACTTTTAAATAAGTTATTCTTTTAAATGTGCACAATAAGGAATAATAATTTCTAAATGATGAATCCAAGAGCATAAAACACCTGATAACATTATGAAGAATTTTAGTTCAAATTAAATGTGCCTTTTAGAAATATATAACAAGATATTATATTATCAATAAAACAAACTACATGGAGGACTTTAATAGTTAATCTGATTTTAAAAGGTTAATAACACTGCTATAATATCATAGTAACATATCAAATCAGAAAAAAGTGATTAACATATTCTGATTCAATATTTGCCTTCAAGTTAACTTATGAAAGCCTAAAGAGCAGAAATAATTCTAAGGCCAATATACCACTCAGGTAATAATTAACATTTAGGGGGAAATACCTAGACAGGATCTTAAAGCCCATATTCAAGTATTACAGATCCTGAACACCCAATAAACATTATCTGATTGCCTTAGAGGTAAATGAAAAATTCAGAATTTATAAGAATTTCTTCAAGACGCTAATATTTTAAATGTACAGCTTACTTTTTCATTAAATTATTATACATGTGATTCATATCAGACCAGGAAGCTATAAAGAGGTTGTTGTGTTCACACCTGTAGTCTGCCAGTCTTTTTACATCAAAGGCCTGGATGCCATTAATATTGGAGGTTTGAAAGTGAATCTGAGAGGGCTTGGAAGTCAAATAGGGATGTTCCCAGTGAGATGTGGCTATGAAAATATCTCATTTTAGTAAATAGAAAAATGAGTTTAGAACAGCACGTATACTGTAATTTAGATAGACAAGGTAGGTAGGTGGGTTAACTACATCAATATCTATATTCAGTGGCTGAGAAGCTCACCTTTGATTGACTGATTTACTAGAAACTGAACCCAGGGGCTCTACTAAGCTGTATTCCCAGAAATTAATTTTTTTAAGTTCTAGGTGGACACAATATCTTTATGTGGTGTTCAGGATCGAACAGAGTTCCTCACGCATGCCAGGTGAGCGCGCTGCCACTTGAGCCACATCCCCAACCCTTCTTAATTTTGAGACAAGATTTTGCTAAGTTCCTGAGGCTATCCTTAAACTTTCAATCCTCCTGCCTCAGCCTCCCTGAGTTGCTGGGATCACAGACATGTGCCACCACGCCGGGCTGCTTACAGATTTAAGCATAAATAAGTCTAATATACCATTTAAAGAGAATGTGTAACGTGTGATATCTTTAATTCTTATAAAATGTTTTGTCCATTTATCCATGTCTACCTGTCCCCTTCCTTCCATTTGCTCATTCACACTTCTTTTAAGATATCAGAGAAGCCTAGAATCACATTCACCAAGCATGACACCAGTGTTTCTGAGAAATTCTAAATTATTGCTTCTTCCTTTTTACTTTCTTACACTTTTGAATTTTAAATGGGACAGTTTTCCTTTCATGAAAATAAAATTAGTCTAAAAATAAAGACACAGGAGTTAAGAGCCAAAGAAAATGCAGAATAAAAAGAGAAACAACCATATGGCAGTTACTGCTCGTTGCTGATCTTTTCTTCCTTCCTATTAATAGAGACCAGTTTTAGTCCTAGGCAGTAGTGTGTTCAGTTAAACATACATGACTCCTTAAACTCTATGCAACTGAGGGTGGCCACAAGATCAAAGTTCTGGCCAATAGATGGGAGCAGAAGTTTCCTACGTGGGGCTTTCAGGAAAGTGATTATTTTTCTGATTAAGAAGCTGACAATTTGACTGCCATCTACTTTTTCATTCTACTTCATAGACAGGGCCTGAAGGCTAACCCACCATTTTGTGAGATGAAGACAGGTCCTATACTATGGATTTTGTAATAGTAAAAAAAAGATCTGGTTTCCTGCACAGCTGTACCAGCTTTGAACTGCCTATCTCTGTACTCTTTGTTACATGAAAATGAGAAGCCCTTTATTTGGTTAGGCCCCATTAATTAGGCTTCTTTTTCGTTTTAAATGATGTTGATTCCAACTGCAATTTCTCTTCTTCTGGAAAATGAATATCCGAGTCTGCTTCCTGGAGAACTCACCTGTGACAACAACTATTCCAAAAGAATAAAACTCCTGTGTAAAATTAACCAAGTGCTATAGGCAATTCTTCAATAAAAAGATTTTTAAAAATAATTATAGTTTAATGAGAAAAAGTACTTTAATGTATTTTTATTTTGGTAGGCACTGTAAAACTTTGAAATATGGAAAAATAAGTTTATTAACTTTACTCAAAAGTATTGTTGCATTCATCTATCATCCCTCTTTTTTCTTTTCCACTCACTGTGATATTACTTCTGTCTTCATTCTTAGGGATGTCAATATAGTAATTGGTGATCCTTTCAGTGCCTTAGCTTTTTATTTCTTCATCTTCTGTTCAATCAGCTACTCACTCCCATTGACATTGTCTTAAAGGTAATACAGAGACTTGGACTATCACTTCCTAATCTGTCTTAGGAGTCTATTGGACAATTACTTTACATCTTTTTGCTCCTATAACATCCAATTCCTCTTTCCCATCTTCACTTCATCTACTGACATTTTCTATTTCTCAGAGAAAACTGAAGCAATCAGAAGGAAACATCCACATTCTCTTAACCACACAGATCCACTTACCAGCATATATTCTCCCTCTCTGTCCGCTTCCACAGTTTCCAGAAGGTAGGAACTACACATGTTCCTATCTAATGCCAATCCTTTTACGTGCACCATTAGAATTCTTCTACTCAAGGATATTGCCCTGGCGATTATTCCTTCTCTTTACAATTCTTTCCTTTCTACTTAATCTATCTTAATAGGATACAAACATACTATCATTTCTCCCATTAAGAACAAAGCAAAGCAAAGCAAAAAACATATCTTGATCACACCTCCCAAATCACCTACTCTCCCATTTTTTGGACTGCCTTTTATAGCAACTTTCCTCCACGGTGCTCTTTGACTTGAAGCATTAATTCCACTCTCCCTATTCCCTCCTACTGCTATTCAATTTGCCTTTCATAGAAACTGCTCTTCTGCTGTACTGAGGACCAGCTCCTTACTAAAATCAAAGACCAATTCTGAGTCCTCACCTTTCTTTTTACCTGTTGGCAGCAAATGACAGAGAAGAAGCCTTCTTAATACACTTTCTTCACTTGGTTTTCAGGATTTTCCATGTTGTCAGGTCTCCAACCCCACAGTCTCCTTTGCAGGTTCTTACTCTTCTTCCTGATCTATTAAGTTTAGCATGCCTATACCTCTGGCCTTGGTTTGCTTTTTTCTCTTTAGTTTCTCTGGTATTCTCACAGTGAGTTTCTTGACTTCAAAAACCATCTCTATTATTTTTTTTGACAACTCTCAAATAATACCTACAGTCCGTACTTCACTTGTGAACTCCAGACTTTTATATCTACTTCCTTAACTCTGCTTCCATGCCAAATATATATCTCAAAATTTATCATTTCAAAAATCAAACTCCTGGTCTTTTTTTGGCCCCAAATTTACTTTACTTTACTATAGCTTTCCCCATTCCAGAGGATAGTAACTCCATTATACCAGTTGCTTGGGCCAAAAACTTTAGCAACCCAAAAGTAGTTCTTCAGATTACTGGCTCTGCCTTCTAACTATATCCTTATCCATCCATCACCGTCACTGCCACTAACCTGGGTAAAGCCCTGAAATTTCCTGTATATCACATCTTCCAGAAAAGCAATGTATATCTTTAATAGAGTATTTCTCCCCTAAGAAACAAGTAAAATAATATACCATAGGCACAGAATTCTATTTTGAAAAGAATACAGTATTACCTTTTTTCCTAGCTTGATTTGAGGTAGAAATGGATCTCAAGTTCTTGCCTCTCCCAATGTCCTTTGAAGTTTTCTTTTCAAAGGTAGAAAACATCTTGAGTGGTGAACTGGGTTTGCCATAGCCCGAGCTCCTAACGGATGCATATAATCCACTCTGGGGTTTTCTTTTAAGCAAAGGAGGTGCACTTCTGGCCTTCTTGTATGGCACTTGTTTACCAGTTACAGTTCCTTCTCCAGAACTGAATTGAGATCTAAAAGTCTGTATACAACGAACACAAACTCTTTAGTGTCTAAATGAACTTTAACTACTGTTGTTAATGAACATTTAACAGATGGCAAAATAGTAATTATCAAATAATATAGTTTGCAAAAACAAATTAGTAGAATTCTCCAAAATTCATCAGAATTTAAGCATTTAAAGCATATGTTCAAAGTTAGTATTAAAATGAAGTAATGCAAATAAATAAAACAGATTAGCTTGCCTGAAAGCAAGACATGATTACCAAGATGAACAAAGAACTTATTTTGAGATGACATTTGAAAACTTTCTTTTCTCTAGACTCTTAGATGCTTTAAAAATTGTATTAATACCCTCCCTTATTCCAAAAAGAATTGGAGATGATTTATAATACACAATTCAAAATTATAGAATACACATAGAATATCTGGACCATGGAAATTATAAAGCAGAAAAGAAAAAAAAAAGAGACAAATGAACTCCTATAAAATGCCAACTTATCTAAGTGCAAACTATGGAAAAGACTGAACAATGAGCACTATACTGATGAATAAACTTAATTTTCTTAAACTATTCAAATTCTGGACTATATGTACTAAAAAGACACAAAAGTATAAAGAATGGCTAAGAAAGCTAATATTATAATTATAATGGTATTTTTGAATTGAGGAAATGGCAGGTGGTGGTAATAAATATCACCCTCACTGAGAATCTCCTGTGGGGGTTCGTATGTAATCAACCCCACTAGCTTATACTTATTTTTAGTATTTATATGCTTTACATAATTTTTTTAAAAAGAAAAAATGAAGTTATTTTTTAGTTGTACACAATATGTTTATTTGTTTTTATGTGTGCTGAGGATCGAACCCAGGGCTTTGCATGTGCTAGGCAAGTGCTCTACCGCTGAGCCTGAGCCACAACCCCAGCACATAACTTCATTTTTCAATACAACAAATCAATTTAGATTACAAACACTTACTTTGTTCGTTTTGTCATCCCGAGGTAATAATGAAGTATCAACAGATATTTTTTTCTTCAAAATATCAAGGTACATTTTATCAATGTGTTCTTCCATAGCAGTTACCACTGGACAGCTATTTTTCATACTTTCATTTGTTGTCTTTTGTAAAATCACGTTCTCATTTTTGTCAAAATACTGGTTCACGTGTCTTGGGTCTTGAGACATAATATTTGCATTCATTTTAAGGGGTAAAGAGCTAACATATTCAGCTTCTTTACTATCAGTCACTTTGTTAGAACTATAAACAAAAACAGGATACAAAGAATAAACTCTATAACACAATTCCTCAAATATTAGTTATACACACAGAGATATACACACTATAAGTTGCTGACTATCCAAATTAAGTTACAAATGTTAAATACATTATTTACAATTCTGGTTAACATAGGATACTCACATAGTATCACATAACTGTTTTTAATTTCAGATCATTTTCATGCAGCAGAATGGAGTACTATGCAAGTGACTGAGACCTACTTTAAAGAAGGGCCACATCAAACAAGACTAAGATTGTGTTTTTGCTTAAGAAAAACATAATATAAATTTAAAAATGAACTTTTTTTAATGAATGTTTTGTCCAGAACTTTTTATTAAGTCAGCATGCATTTGAAGCAGAAAAAACATTTACACATTTCTGGAATAAACTACAGAGGTAAGTATAATTTATGCCAAGGAGACAGAGTATAAACACTAAGAAGCATAAAATGTAATCATAATATGGAAATTTTTAAAGCAGAACAGAAAAATCACTAGATTTTAAAACAATTTCTATAGTTTAAACTACTTACATGAAACAATTCAAATACTTATCTATTAAAAATCTGGAAAATACACCTTAAGGAAATGTACTAAATTTGGTTAAATACCAGAAAACTATGGGGACTTCAAAAAATGAGAATTGTTATTTTCAAATTATTTAATCATAGTCAATTAAGTCATTTAATTTTATAATTAATGAAATAAGATTCAAAAAAAGTATAAGAGGCTACTAATTTCCCATATATGGACTGGCTTCCTAGTAATTGCTGAACTTAAGTAGTTGGAAATCATCAGAATATGTAATAGTGCTTTCCTTCTTCACAGCAGCAGAACCTAATCAAGATTGTTTTCCGTTCTTGTTGGGTATTAAGTAAATAATACTTCCTTGCTACTTTTCATGGCTGTTCACTAGTTCTTGCCTTTGGAAATGTAAATGCTAGGATGACTAGAGATCAATGTAGTGGCTTAGTGGTCAGGTTGTGGGTGGGAGGAAACCTGATAGCAGAGTCTGAAGATCTGTTTTACAGTACAAAACACGTGCTAAACTGTCACCTACAACAGCTTATAAAGAAGAGCTTCTTTACCTACTAAACCTGGAGTACTAAGATAAATGGCTGGACAGAACAGATTTTACTCCCGTCTACTACTGGCTGCTTTCACTTAAGATATATAAAAAAAACAGATGAGCTCCAGATAGACTGGTCTGGTTTATAAGGAACCATATAAGGGAATAGACAAGAGTCTAGAAACTCGGGGCCCACTAGATTCACTCTCTATGTCTGGACCCATAGAATAAGACTTAGCGTTGATAAATGGTATGAGAAATGAGGTTTTATGAGACATCTCAGTCAAAAAGAATTCATCAGTCCCTTGACAATGAAGATATCCATTTCACATTTAAGGTTCTCTTTCCCAAAATATCCAAAGAGCTGCAAATAAATTGAGAGCAAAACCAAACAAACAAAAAAGGGTTTCAAGGAACCCTAGATATAAAGCAGATTTAAAACCTTTGTCTAGCAAAGAACTTTAAGTATAATTACTGGCATATGGATCTAACTGGAATCAAAGAGATCAGAAGGTTACTAAAAACTTTCTGAAATCACACAATCCTATTTGAAACAAAACAAAAATGCAAAATGTCAGCTACAGGGAGCACTAAAACTACCTATAGGCAGGAAATGGATTGAGAAAGCAGTGTAGCCCCCAGGTCCTCACAAAACCTACTTTGGTTGGGGCCAATGGTAATAACATACAAGCTGAATGCTCCAAAGATGGGAGCCAGGGGCTATCCAGAACAATATCTTGCAGACTAGAATAACTTAATCAAGGAAAATCTCCATCCCCAAAGTGGGGGGTCTTTACAAAGTCATTCCAGTGTTTTCAAAGTTGCAACATTGGTTGCTGTGTTTTCCTCATACTTTCCTTTTCTGAATAGGAGTATTTGTTGTAGTTTCATCATTATATACTAAAAGGGAGCATATAACTTGCCTTTTTACTTCATCCATTGGTGGGCAAGGTGGAGCCACACCCAAACCTAATGGAGAGGACTGCGCTTCATCAGGAAATCCTGGTCCTTCAAATGGAGGCAGTCCTGAGTGGTACTTTGGGCTATCTGCTTTAGGGAGAAGATGAGTGTGTCTATGTATGAAGAAGAGTGATATGGAAATTTCATTATTAGAAGGGTATATTCTGGCAGAGATAATTACAAAACTAATTTGCTTTTCTTTCTAGGCACATAAGCAAACCACATTTCTCAACCCTCTTAGACTGGTTAGCTAGTTAGATGTGCTCATTTTTACCAAGAGAATGTGAACTGATGTACTGTGGCACTTCTGTGCTGAGGCCATTAGAAGAAAGTCATTCTCCTTCCCTATAAGCTTGCTGGGTGATGCCCAGCAAGATGACAGAAAGAGCCTGAGTCATGAAATGACTGTGTGGAGCTGAGCCTTACCTTCAACCCCACTAACACACCTCCAGACAACAATGCTCAGTGAGCAGTCTCCCCTTTAAAAATACTACCTAGCATTAAATATAAGTGGAAGAATACTATATTTAGCATGAATTTTAGTGTAAACTTCACTGTTTATTTCTTCTCAATAGGACAAATATGGAAATGACAAGAAATTACTTCCATGTACATTTACATGATGAGAAGTAGTGCAGGAAGAGCTCAGATGTGTTTGTTGAAAACACAAAGGAGCAAGTGATTAAAGTCTCACAGAAATATTTCATAAAGATCAAAGATCTGACAACACAAATGTTTAAAGATTGCCTGTGTTCTCTGGTTACAATCATTTGAGCTTGGGTAATTATTTATTTTAGCCTTCAATCTCAGTTTTCTTGTCTGTGAAACAGGAATAATAATGGACTATGCCCATGGGGTTGCTGAAGGGTTAAATAATATATGACAAGAACTTTGCATTATACCTGTGCATGGTAAGCATGAGAAATGTGAGCTGTTGTGACCACCATCTGGTTCTTATGAGAGTTCCACCACTAGGTTTGGCTTAATTCAGATTCATCATTTGAATGATGAGAATAAAGAAACTTGTCTTATATGTTATGAGGATCATGTGACATGGAATGTCACACTGTAAATTCGACATAAAATGCAAAGGTTACTGTAAAGTGCTATTCTGTGTTGAAGAATCACATTGGGTTGCACACTCTTCTATTAAACTGTACTGGCAGTAAAGCATTTTTTATGAAGTCCTTTTCTCCTGTGATCACAGAACTCACCCTGTGAGATTATGGCCAGTCTATGACTAAGTCAAAACTTACTGGTTTATAAAGAAGTAAACCTATGAGTATTTATAAATCACACAATAAAATTTACTTTCCCAAAACTGAATAAACTCCTCCTATTCTATTTAAAGTTGAAAAGATTGTGTTTTTCAGTGAGGAGCTTTAGTACTAATTAATGGTAGGAACTTTCTTAGTAGCAAATTGTTTTAGCACTAGAAGAATTTTGATAACTAACCGAATGAGAATAAATACAAAGAGCGTGCAGGGGCTTATAGGTAGATACATATACGAGTAATTTAGACATTAGTAATTCACTAGGAAGGAGTAAGTGGGAAAAAAACGATTGCATAGGTTTCTAATGACAAAGCAATACACAAATAAGCAACTAAAAACTCAATGAACCAATCAATCTACCTGCGCAATACATTCCAAAAAACTCATACCTGACAGGTTGTAAATCAAGACCAGTGATCCCAAAAGAATCTATTCTGATAGGTTTCATTAGCTCCTCTATTGTGGGCAGATCTAAGAGGGGAAAAAAAGTTAAAGGAGAAACCAAAAATTGAAAGCCAATTACTTAGTTTTCATTTTCTCTAATGGACATAGTTAACAAAATGCACAATAAACCCAGCTTCCCACCATAAAGTGTTTGTACCAGGAAAGTCTCCTTTGATATTTATCAAATATCAAAATCAAATACATATTTCTAATGTCAATATCAGATTTATATTTATATGTTTGCTAAGTATGTATTTAGTTGAAATCTTAAAAATCTTTAATATAGGTACATTAAAAGTAAAAAGTGTCAACTAAGTTTTAATTTGGTCAAAGCATATTTGAAGAGAAACTGAAATTTTATTCTGTTTGATTCTTTTTAATTAAAGCAATGATTCTGGATTTCATCTGAACAAATCCTTCAAGTTCAGAAACAGAAACAATCACTTAGACAAATTATTATTTAAATTAAACTACACTGGAAAATATTTAGAGAGGGTTTCAAAGAGTTGAAACTTATATCCATCCATCCATCCACCCACCCACCCACCCATCAGCTTTTACCAGATTCAGTAGTAGAGATGTTTTTTGAAGACTCTTCATTTTCTTGAGGATGATCTTTCACTGAGTTCTTGATATTTTCTACTGTAAAACTCTCAGTTCTTTGTTCTTCTGCATCTTCCAAAGAATGAGCTATATGACAATAAGCATGATGTAGGGCTTCAATGTCACTATTGCTCTGTCCATAAGACAGGCCTATTGAAATAAATATAAATTCCTAGGTATAATTACATCATAAACACATGAGAAATATAAAACACTATTACCCTTTCTTAATCCAATTAGGAATGGTGAACAAGGCTGTAGGACAATAGCAACATTATAAAAGCACAACAAAGTAGAAACCTACATAATCCACGACTATAGCCTACAATATAAAAACCACAGCAGGCTCAATAACTGCATTTTAGCAACTTGAGACCCGTCCTGACAAGGTGACTGTAAAGTCTGACCTCACTAGTTTCTGCCCTCTCTTCCCATTATCCTTAAGCAAACTCTTTGCATTGTTTAAAACTGGATAAAAATTTCCTAAACTGATACATTCTTTTGAAGGATTCTACCTTTCCCTTACTGCTACCATTCTCTCTCTCTCTCTCTCTCTCTCTCTCTCTCTCTCCTTTCTTTCTCTCTCCCTCCTGTTCCAAACCATCTTGTACTCTGCAGTTTTTTCAGTTACAATGTATTCTTCTCACTGTGCAATCCACTATATATTCCAAGAACTTGCTAAAGCTATTGTAATCCAAAGTAATTTCTTAATGGCCCAATCCATCCATCTTTAGTACTTTTCAAATCTGTGAAACACCTGCCATTGTCCTTTTCCTATTGATTTGTTTCTTCTTCCTTTCTTTGCCATGATCTGCCTACAAACCTGAGGGCTGCTTATCCTGGGAGGTGGGGTGTCTATCTTTAGCTCTTTAGCCCTCTTTTTTAACCTTCTGTTTTTTTTAAGATGACTAATTCCATCGAGTCCCTTAAATTTTTAACTATTACTCATATACTCATGTCTCCCCAATCTACGTCTTTTGTCCTTATCTCTTTTCTAAACATCAAATTCTTTAAGACCTTTAGATTATCAGGTAACTACATCACATCTAACATCAAATAAATAACATCAAATAAATTTATTATATCCCTCTCCCTCACCAAAACTTGTTCTACTGTATTTCCTATTTTAGCTAATGAGATTATTATTTACTCAGTTACCCCAAATAGAAACATTAATTTCACTGTTAACTCTTCCTTCTATTAACCTTCTCTTCCTACTAGCTGACAAATAGATTCTATAAGGAACAATTTGAAAAAACGAATCACAATAATAATGTCAGATATTAGAGTGTTTTCTTAATAATTTTTAAATATTCATCCCTAGCAGAAATTTCAAAATTAGAGAATAAGTCATAGAAGAGGGGAAAAAAGTGAAAGAAATAGGGTGACCAGTCTTCTCTTCCCTTGATATTCATAGTTAATTGTTTAAAAATTTATACGTGTGTGTGCGCGTGTGTGTTTATACTTTAAACTGTATAGTGCATAACTCTGAAGGGCTATTTTCAACTCTAAATGTAAGAAACAGTTGACTGCCACATATGAGTGTATAAGAATACCTTATGGTGAAATTTCTTTCTAGCTAATGCTTCAGGTCACCAGGGCTATTTGGAATACAGTTTGAACAGAATTAATAAGAGTTAAGGGGCAGAGATTTTCTACGAGGATATGAGGAAAAAGATCTTGCCTGTTAAGCTGAACCGAACTTTCCCTCTAAACCACCAGTTACACTCAGAGTAGCACTACTGAAAGAATTTTTACAAAAAAAAAGAAAAGTACAAAGTTTTCTGTCCTTTACAAATATATTAGTTCACTTAAATATTTGCTAAATATTCATAAAAGAAATGACTCTGATGGTGAATGTTTGCACCCAATTTAATGGGTATGAGGTGTCAGAAGAGCCTCCAGGCTTTAAAGCAACAAAAGATCAAACATGCAGAAAAATAAATGACCTGAAAATTAGAAAAGGGATAAGGACATATTAAGGGCAGCTCAAAAACAGCAGGGAAAGGTACTTTTTCCTAACCTAAGTCCTTTATCAGTCATATTAAAATTAATTCCATGAACATGAAAAATTAACTTTTCTTCAGGCATTTTAGGAGAAAGTGGAAGGGGGGGAGGCTTACTTATCTACCTCTTAAATTAAAAAGAGAAAACTGTGTAAGTATTTTATACATATTACAAGTAAAAAGCTTCCTATATTTTTCAAATTTAGAAAATTGAGAAGTGTCAAATCCTGTTTTTCAGAGGAAACAGCCTAGTTTCATGGAGCGACAGTATCATTCTGAGACACTATCCAGTCATGCAGCCATAGCACAAAATGGTACTTGCCTGGGAGACAAATGAAAGTAAGGGAAAGGTTACACCTGGCTTGATGCTAAGAAAGTCTCATTTTTATATTTGATAATGTTTTAATACAAAAATTATAGAGAATTTCACAAATGATATCACAAATAAGAGAATCTTTGACAATATTTTAATCAAACCAGCTACTTATTATTAAGAGAAACATGGTAAACAACAACCATCAAAATTATCAGTTTTAATACCAAGTTCAGATGCTCATTTGAAGACTTCGGACTATAATTTTGAAATACACTAAATTTAATATTTCACAGCCCCAAAATGCTTATACTATATCCTTCAGGTTCTTTATTATAGCAGAGGGCGATAATCTTAGCAATGTACTGCACATTATCTCTATTGACAATTATAAGACCTCATCTTTTTTTTTTATTTTATTTTTTTTTTAATTGTTGGTCGTTCAAAACATTACACAGTTCTTAATACATCATCTTTCACAGTTTGATTCAAGTGGGTTATGAACTCCCAA